ACAACAAAGACATTACAAGCAAAGGTTGCTGAAAATCTTCAGAACTGATATATTGGATTAGATGTGATTATTGTTCTAGTTGGTATCATATCAGTTGTGTAAATATTTCTCTTAGCGACTCTGTGAAAAGCCAATGGTTTCAGTGTTTTTTATGCGTTGATGTAAAAAATGTTAATAAAGCAACAATAGGTAATGAATTAGTGCTAGACAATTATGTTAATACAGCCATCTCAAATGTCCGAGTACTCGAGAGAGTACTAAAAGACTCGTGTGTTCCCTTGGCGGAAAGTCTGTCGGACAAAATAAATTAGATCGTCTACGATGTAGAAGACGTTACAAAATGGCTAATTTTTTAACATCGTTCTTGTTTTTTTGGAGCAACCGAAAAGAAGTGGACGCAAATAGACCACAAGCATGAGCTCTTTATTAAATAAAAAAATTCGAGCAAATGACGTGTCACTTCCAAAACCCCATCCCCGAGTTTCAAGCTCGCCTCTGAGTGACCTCGAGCTGAGAAGAAAGATAATAAGTAGCAAGCTCGATGAAGGAAATGTAAAGGGAGGAATAAGGCTTGCTGCTTCGGATGACTAAATTGCTCCTTTTTCAACTGATAACTATCAAAAAATGTTGTCTAAGCACCCTCAGCGAGCCAAATTTGCAGCTCCAAATCCAGAAAATGTGGATAGTTTTTTTTTGGTAACCGATTTCGACCTATACAAAGCGATAATGTCCTTTCCGAACAGATCAGCAGCAGGTCCTGATAAAATAGTTCCTCAAATTTTTAAGATCTTGTTAGTAAGTCGAATGGCAGTGCAGCACTTAATTTTCTGAAATCGCTTACTAAGCTGATAAACCTCATTGATATGTCCTTCTAAGATATGTGGATGACATAGTTATAACTGTGAGGGGCTGTCCTGGAGTTGTCCTCGAAGCTGCTAGTAAGTTACATCCCAAATTGCAGTTTACCACAAAAGAACTTGGTTGTTACAGTTGTTTGGCCTTTTTGGATTTAAATGTAAATGTGGTCTCTTAAAAACAGGTCACATATGAGTGGTTCCAAAAACTCGCAGACACCGACATTATTCTTTGTTTCACCGGAACTTTGAGATAAAGAAAAATTTAGATGTTACTGCGTCAAAAACAAAGAATTGATAAATGGTTTAAAGACTCAACCCCCTTTTTGACAATTAAGTGTCGAGGTAATCCGTCGCAACTGTTAGCAGCAGAGATGCGCAATTATCCGGGAACAAAAATTTTTCAAAATACATGCTTGCCATCCCTCAAAATCTTCCTTCAAACGTGAAATGAGATCGAAAGTGGTGTAAAACCTTACATGTAGAGGATGCAACGCCACCCATGTCGGCCAGACAGTGCAAAATTTAGCCACGATGGTTGATAAACACCACAAAGAGGACTCCCTAGTAGGACAGCATTTGCTAGACTGCAATAAGGAGGTAGACGGTACCACTGAGCTGAAGATGGAGTTAATAGAACAAACAGGCATCACTCATAAGCTTCTCACACCAAAATTTTTGCATGTTTGCAGGGAAAGGCCGAAAACCTACACGCGCGATGAAATAAGGAGCCGAGAATTAAGCTAAAATTGTAGTACAAGTATAACATGGCTAAAACTCAAAAACTAACCTGTCAGAATCAAAAATATTCCTTAAACGAAATATTATGACAATTAAAGAGCAAAAATCTAAAAAATTAGAAGAATTTATTTTTAATGATTATTTGAATTAAAATGTACTGACAGTTGCATAATAATTCATGATTAAAAAATTTAAGAGCGTATTTGAGATATGTATGCCACTTTTTCCAGATCTTTGAAATTTGCAAAGACGTTTGAAATAACATTTTAATTTTGTTGTAGATTTTGTAATTCCTCTAAAATTTGTTAATTAGAGAAGTAAATAAATCTTGAAATTCGTTTTTGCTCATTTCCTTCTTAGCAGTCGCACGGACACTCACTGTGATACCCGCGTTTTACTACAGTTTTACTACAGTGATACAAATTAATTAGAACAAAAAAATCACACTATAAAATTCAAAAAGAAGAAACTATCTCACCCGAGCTCAGCAGGTCCAGTGGGACACCACCAGGCTCTTCAAGCCAGTTTCATCTTCTCACCAGAAAATCATTTGACAGGCACTGTAAATTAATTTTTTAAACAAAAACAGCCAAAGTTGACGTTGCTAAATGAGAATAACAGTAAAGTTTGCCTGGATGTCAGATAAAGGCGACATATCGAAATCATGGGGTAGAATGCAAAGACCCCTGAATGGTTTTACCTAGAGGGTCTTGGTTTGGTTGCACTTAGAGGTTTTGGAATCCGAGTGAGCAAACATCGCTGAAACAGTCTGGTTTTGCAGGACTTGCCAAAAACAGCAGGACACAGATCGGAAAGAGAATGGTTTGAAAGATTTTCTAAGATGTGTGGATGACATAAAAAGAACTTTGAGGGGCTGTCCTGGGGTAGTCCTGGGGTGGTCCAGACATCACTCAGAAGCTACTCACAACATTAGAATTGCACATTTGGAGAGAAATGCCAAAAATCAACAAGCGCGATAAATTAAGGAGCCGGGAACCAACGCTTAAAATGTAGTCCAAGAGTAACATGTATGAAAAGTCAAAAAACTGACAAGTCAGAATCAAAAATAGCCCTAAACGAAACATTCTAATAAGTAAAGAGCAAAAATCTAAGAAAATTGCAAGAATATATTATTAATGACTACATATTTCCTTATGTAATTACAGTTGTAAAAATTTGAATGGTCAGAGCATTTTTGAGACCTGTATGTCACTTTTTCCAGATCTTTGATCTTGCTGTAAGTATTGAAGAAATTTAATCATGTTGCTGCACAAAGTATGTGAAAACGTTTGATTTAACATTTTGAAACTCTTATCAAATTTAAAATTCCTTTAAAATTTGTTAATTAGAGAAGTAATTTAAATCTAGAAATTTGATTTTGCTCATTTCTTTGTTAACAGTCGCACGGAAACTCACTGTAATATCCGAGTTGTGCTACAATTTTACTTAAGTAAGATAAATCAATTAAAACCCTAAAAGCACACAATTAAAATCAAAAAGAAGGAGCAATCTCAGCCGAACTTAGCAGGTCCAGCGGTGCACAACCAGACTCTTCGAGCCAGTTCTAGTTTCTCCTTCCCCCCAGAAAGCCATTTGACACACACTGCAATTTTCAGCGCTCACATCAACTTCTTCAAATCGAGGCTGGAAAAACGAGTTGTATGATACATCGGTTCTCGAATGACGAATTGGACTTCCACAGAAGGAGCTGATCGACAGAGGCTGAGGGGCCTAAAGATAAGAAATTACCTGTGTACCGGTCTCTCAAACTCTTTGAAAAGCGCTCGAAAAACAGGCACAAATTAAAAACATAACACATGATAGAAAGAGAGAAAGACACTTTAAATAAGGTACAGACAAAGCATAATGCTTACTATACAAATTAGTGTAATTTATAAAAATATACTCTGTGAAACGTAAAAAATTAATGGTGCAGCGTTCACTTTGTGTAAACTATTGTGTTAAGGAGTTATCAAATAAACCAAAAATCACGCCGAATTTGAGCATTGTTTATTTCGACATTTGTTTTTAAATGAATCTAAAAAAATTTTTTTCAGTCAACATTTGGAAACATGTTGAATTAAAATAATATCCCGAATATGTGACGGTAGTGAGTTCCATTTTGCAGAAGTCATATAGATTTGAAGCAAAATGAATAGGGCTTTTAATTTACTCAAAACAAATTCGTGGGAGATTGAATTGTACAATAGCATGAACTATTTTAATATCTGCAATTTCTTTCCTCAATGATTCATTAAAAGAGAGAAATGCATTAATTGCCGAGAGATCTTTTCTGAAACCAAATTGAGGGGGATTAAATAATTTGTTGGTATTCAGATGAGCAATTTTTTCTCATAGATTTTTGAAAAGGCTGTTGTTTTTGATACAGGTCTATAAATTTAAGGATCCTGAATTTCATCTTTCTGAAATACGTGAGTCACATTAGCACTTTTCATAGCATCAGGAAAAACCAAACTTGAGATAGATTGGTTCAAGAAAAACTTCAAATAAGGCTTAATGATTGTTTTCCTTCTTTTATGGCCTATGTGGAAACCTTGACGGCCGCTAATGGCTTATTTCCCTTCGGCTCTTTTATTATCGAAACCTTCTTTTTGAGATACTGAACGAAAGTAAAACTCTGGTATGCAGTTTGTAGATCGAAAAAATATTTGATAATCATTTTTTGACTCTGGTTGTTTTTCATATAGCAATGTAGGTTTCCATCACGAATAACCACGTTTGACTCCTTTTTATCATTATTTTTTCCTTATCTAGAAAATTCCGAGGATTTTAAGTGTATAATGCGATAAAGAAACTTCTGTCTGTAACCTCGGTTACTATGACACTTTCGATCTTCTGGTTATAAGTTGCATAAGCGCCCTTTTTCTAACAACACTAGTGTCTTCAAGAAACAAATTGTATATGTCTCTTTCTTTCAGTTTTTAATTAGATTACATAATGGCTTGTTTTATCCTTCTTGCGACAAACCCTAATACTATTGGAGAATATGTATCATTCCTTCTTTTTGGTAGTCTATGGCATGAAGAAATGTCACTATTCTTCACATCCACACCCAGTTCGTTCCCACAGAGCTCAACTAACTTATGCTTCAGCTGTTCATTGACCTCCTCTTCTTTGTATTCCAGTCCGTTGATTTTAAAATTTTCTAGTTTTTTTTTGTAATATCTGATTTTCTCTGACTTCACACTAGGAGCAATCTTGTCATTTTTTCGTAAATCGTTTTTTTTCCAATATCAGCTGTTCAACCTCATGACAAGCGCAGAAATCAAACAGGAAGTCTCTGTTAAAGAATTCCTTTGTGATTCGAGTTGGAACTTAAATCGGAATCCAGGCTGGGCATACTTTCTCGTTGTTGATTTTCCCAGTGCTGTTCTTTTTAGCCTAATTGTTGTGATAAACTTATTAAATAGATTTGTTATCTTTGATGTTTGTGCTTGTTTGTGGAGCGCCCTCTGGGGAATTTAAGAGACAGGTCTGTCAAGTGGCTTTCTGTGGGGAGTTGAGAAACTGGAACTGGCTTGAAGGGTCTGGTGGTGCACCGCTGGACCTACTGAGCTCGGGTGAGATTGTTCCTTGTTTTTGATTTTTATTAATCGATTTTAAATTTTAAATTAATTTAATTGTCTTTTTTTTCTATGATTTGCTGAATTATAAAATTCCCACTAACCGCTTATCATGGGTTAGTTAAGCCCCCTAAAGTCCAGTCAAAACCCTTTTTTTACCTTTACGCTGCGCCAAGATGAAGAAAAACAACAAAGACTGTACAAGCAAAGGTTGCTGAAAACCTTCAGAACTGATAAATTGGATTAGATGTGATTATTGTTCTAGTTGGTATCATATCAGTTGTGCAAATATTTCTCTTAGCGACTCTGTGAAAAGCCAATGGTTTCAGTGTTCTTTATGCGTTGATGTAAAATCTGTTAATAAAGCAACAATAGGTAATGAATTAGTGCTAGACAATTATGTTAATACAGCCATCTCAAATGTCCGAGTACTCGAGAGAGTACCAAAAGACTCGCGGGTTCCCTTGGCGGAAAGTCTGTCGGACAAAATAGATGACATCGTCTACGATGTAGAAGAGGTTACAAAATGGCTAATTGGAACAACCGAAAAGAAGTGGACGCAAACAGACCACAAGCCTAAGCTCTTTGATAAATAAAAAAAAATCGAGCAAATGACATGTCACTTCCAAAACCCCATCCCCAAGTTCCAAGCCCGCCTCTGAGTGACCTCGAGCAGAGAAGAAAGATAGTAAGTAGTAAGCTCGATGAAGGAAATGTAAAGGGAGGAATAAGGCTTGCTGCTTCGGATGACAAAATTGCTCCTTTTTCAACTGATAACTATCAAAAATTTTTGTCTAAGCACCCTCAGCGAGCCAAATTTGCAGCTCCAAATCCAGAAAATGTGGATAGTTTTTTCGTAACCGATTACGACCTATACAAAGCAATAATGTCCTTTCCGAACAAATCAGCAGCAGGTCCTGATAAAATTGTTCCTCAAATTTTTTAAGATCTTGTTAGTAAGTCGAATGGCAGTGCAGCACTTAATTTTATGAAATCGCTTACTAAGCTGATAAACCTCATTGGAGATAGCAAAATACCCGAAGCCCTAAGACCTTTCTTTCTTGGCGCAAAGCTTATCGCCCTCATGAAGATAGACGGAGGGTTGAGACCGATTGCCATTGGCAACACGCTGAGACGTATCGCGTCTAAATGCGCTGGAAGCAAGGCCCTCTCCGAGAGATAAAATTTTTCGGAAACGAACAGGTAAGATACGGTACCAAACGAGGAGCAGAAATCGCTGCACACTCGTTCCGGAACCTAATTGAACGCGACGATAATCCAAAATGCTCTGTTCTTTTAAAACTAGATTTTAAGAATGTCTTTAACTCTCTAAATAGAGAAACAATGCTGAATCATGTTTATTCAAATCGCACCGAATTGTATAATTACACCCATTGCGCGTATAGTAAAATTAGTTACCTTTTTTACGGAAGCTCTGTCATAAGTTCAGAAGACGGAACTCAGCAAGGTGATCCTGAAGCCCTTCCCCTTTTTGCGGAAACCATTCAGACAATAGTCAAACAGTTGGAGTCGAAAATTAACATCTGGTATTAAGATGATAGAAATTTAGCCGACGACTATAAGGTAGTACTCCGGGACCTTAAAAATCTTCTGAAATTGGAACAAATTTACGGCCTGAGCTTGAGCACTGAGAAATGCGAAGTTTTTTTTGGCCCGACTACGAGTACACAGTAAAATTCAATTTTAACACAATTTCGAAAAAAAATAAGCCCAAAATAAATCCTAAAAACAAAAGAAGAACTCCTCATTTTAGGATCTCCAATCGACCAACTTTGCCGAAAAGAATTGCTCGACGAAAAAATTAAGGAGCTTGAAAAAGTCTCGGATGTCATTGACAAACTGGACGCCCATTATGGTTTTTACCTCCGGAAAAATTGTTTAGCATGCCAAAACTCCTATTTTTTTTGCTTACGAGCCCTTGTTTTTTACAAAATGATTTTTTGGAGCAATACGACAAATTACTAAGAATTTCGTTATGCAAAGTCATTAATGTGAAAAAGGATGATAACCAGTTTTTACAAGCAGTTCTCCCGGCAGCCAAAGGTGGCTTGGGCGTTTCTTCCGCTCGTCTACTCGCTTTACTCGCTTTCTTAGCCTCAGCAGTATGAGCTAAAGATGCCTTGAGCGAAATCTTTGGTTTGGAGCATGTGGATGGAACCTATGATGATGATGCGCTTACACGATGGTTTGAACTTGGAAAATTTGAAATGGCTCGGGAAAATAAAATCCAAAACAATTGGACGGAGCCAATTTTTGACAGCGAAATTGCAGAGTTGATTTTACGAATCGAACCAACGGACGTAAAAATATTCAAGATGTAACATTTGTAATATTCGCCTGGAAGTAAATGTTGACGGAGAAAAAAGCTAGGTTCTAAAACGACTGGCTAGCGTATAAACACAGCTTTACATGCTTTTCACCGTCTCTCCCAAAGCCAGTTCTTATGTTGGTTTTCCTAACATCGGGTCGACAAATTGTTACTGCTTTCCGGCATCGACCAGAACGCTGAAATGAACTTAATTATATGCAAAAATATTGAACTCATGGCTGGGTCTCCCCAGACCACGAGGTCACACCTAAAAACAGGGCTACTACTATTTTTTTTGTATTACTATTGTTTTTAATCATTAGATAAAAATCATCATCTCCATCGAAAAGGAGATCTTTCCCTCACTCCTAGCTTCTCATTCTCTGAAAATGAATCTGGATGTTAATTAAATTCAACTCAGGGCATCACCAGGAAGCTAGAAGTTTATATAAAACAGTTCGAGTTCTGAGCCCGAGACCCCTCCGGATTCTGGAATCCGGGGAATTAGCACTCCTATTTCTTTCCGGAAGGCTAGACACGCAGTCCCAACACATTTCCTTTTTCTCGGCTTCTACGTTGTAACGATTGTAGCAGAACAATCGTTACAACTCGGAATCGTTACAATTTCAATCTGTTGTCGTTTTTTTTGTCGTTGTTTCCGCTGCGACTGTTGCAGTGTGTGCGAAATAATGAAAGGTTACGTGTCGTTCATGTCCAAATCGAAATTTTAAAAATTAGCATGTCAGTTAAAACTACCCTTCCCGATTTGTCCAATCGTTCAAACAAAGTCGCCAATTCATTAAAACCATCAATCTTCCCGGTCAGATGTTCTTTTTTCTAATCGATAAAAACTGCATTTTCGTACATTCTGGCCGAATGTCACAATTTGGCTCCCAATGGTTGTGCCAGTCGGTCATATTTGGAAGTTTGACCTTAAGCAATACGAACAACTTGATTTTGTGGTGAAATGGAATATTTGAAAAATTTGAATTGAGCATGTCATGCTCAACTTTCTCGCGACAACTTAAAATCTCAGAAATATAAAATCAGAACATTCTAACTTTAATCGCGGGAAAGTGGTCAAAAAAGCAGCGGAAAGTTGCTAATCGCAATTTCCAGATATATTATCACACTAGAGTAGAGCTCTCTTATCCTGATTATCATTTTTCTCGTTTAAGTTTTTACGTTTCCGGTACCAAGTTTATCGGTTTTGAACGAACAGGTGATCACAAGATACCTGCGAACAAGTTGGGTTTCAACTTGCATTAGAATAAAAAAGGGAGAAAAATACAGGGGATTAGTAATTGAAACTTTTTGGCCAGTAAGGTTGAGTTTTGAGGAAATTTTTATACTAGAGCTCAAGTGGTGGTATCAGGGATAGTGGTTCAAGAGTCCCAACGACGAAGTCTTGGGACAGTACGGAAAAGTCTTGGGACAGTACGAAAAAGTCTTGGAACAGTACGTAAAGGTCTTGCCACAGTACGGAGAAGCCTTGAGACAGTTAGAAAAGGTCTTGGGACAGTGCGAAGTGTCCCAACACTAGAGCGAAAAGGGTCTTGGACAGTGCGAGTTAGCCCAACACTTGAGTGATAGGTCTTGAGACAGAGTGAAATATCCCAACACTTAAGTAAGAGCAGAAATGATCGGTCAGAACGATTAAATCACAAAAAATCCGCTCTATTAAGATCACGAATTGAAGATTTTTCTTACGAGAATTAGGAATACTTTTTAGAATTTTTATCCTTAGAAAAGATTTTGTAAATATAAATATTATAAATAGAGAAAATTGTAAATAAAAATCATGAGGCAAAGTAGGGTACCGATAGCAGAAAGAAGAGTTCTAGAGTCGAAAACAAGTCATAACTCGTCGCAGAGGAAAGAAACGCCCTCGGACCAAAAAGTAATGAGCGGGAACTTTTCAGTGAGCATGGTCAACACAAGAAGCGCAAAGGAGAGCAAGACGAAAGTAAGCGGCGTGGAGGGACGAAAGGTACCTGCTATAGAAATTGATCTTGAGACACCAGATCAGAGTGTTGATGAGGTGGCAAGGAAAACAACGGAGTCAACACCGATGCCGAATGCCGAAGAACAAGAAAAAAAGACGATAGAGTTCTCGCCAATTGACACTGTCGAGGACACAACAAGCAACACGCCGGAAACAATAAAAGATGATTCTCACACAAAAAGAACGTCCTTCACAGAGAGGATCGCAATGATGGTCGGAATGAAACCAAGAGATAAAGAGGAGGTAGAACCAACGTCCGAGAAAAGCAAAACGTTTGGAACACTTTCCACGATAACAACAGAAGCCATTCAAAACGATGAGCAAATCAAACATGGGGCAACAGCTAACCATGGGCCAACAGCTAATCGCGAAAAAACAAACTCTCTCGAGCTGGGCGATTTGATGGCGAAGTTGGATCAAATCGACAAAAAACTGAAATGCAATGAAGAAGATCGAAAAGTTCTAAAAAGGAAATAAGATACAACAAGAACGAGAACCTAGACAATTACTTCAAC